GAGCGCCACGCAGCGTCCTTAGACCCCCCCCACCCGGGGGCGGGGCATTCCGGTTTCCGCCGCACGTCCGCCCCGCCCCAGTCTTAGGTGACAGCAGACGTGTAGGTACTTTGTCCCGTGCTGTCCCAGAAAGCCTCATCCTGAAACTCCCCCTTCTCTCTTCCCCCAAACTGAGACCCCGCCAGCCCCCGTTTAACCCTCTTTTGTGAAATCCGTGTTCGTGCTTTTTATTGTAGAGATGTGGACGGTGCTCAAGGCATACTTCTTGAATTACGTATGTTCCTTGTGTTATACAATTCTAGAAAGTTTACTTAACTTGCTCCTAAGCCCGAAAATTGGTTGTAGCATATCTGGACGTTAGTGAAGTGTGACCGCTGGCCGCCTGGACGGCGCGCCTGTTCGGCGCACCTGTTCTGGGTCTTTGGTGTGCCAAGGTGACACAAAGCTCAGAAACATCCGCCATTGGGCCACCTAGCAGAGGGAAATAGGACGACACATCACCTGGATTTTGGAGGGCTGCATTGCCCCGAGTGGGATAAGGGCTTATTCCACTATGGTACTGAAGCCTGGAGCTTAGATGATGATTTAGTACTCAATTATATGATATTTAGAGGTCCTTGCATAAGGTCTGAGTTAAGTTCAAAAAAGTGCCATGAGGCTCAGAAGACAATGGCTTGTCAACTCCAAATGACAAGGTCATCTCAATTTTAGTTGCTTTTAGTGAGCTTCTTGAGCTTGGAAAACATGTTAAAATTGTGTGTTGTCAAAAGGCTCTGAGTCTAAACATGGAAGACTTCCCCTGACTTTGTTTCACAGCAAAGTAGCAGTGATTAGGAGTGCTAGTTCTGGACTCAAAATACTGCTTTGTAAGGTCACTGATCTTAAGCAATCCTAATTTGATCTCAGCAAATTATTTCATTTCTCTGGGTCTCAGTTTACTCATCTGTAAAAGGAGGTCTACCCCACTGGGTTGTTGTGACAATTAAATACATACTGAAATACTTAGAATAGTGCCTGGCAATATTAAGCTCTCAGTAAACATTAGGTATTATTTTATACTGACCTAAATGTGCCCTTTCGTCAATCAGTTATATTCCTGGGCAAGGTATTTTAACAAGTCACTGGCCACCGGGAAATGAAGGTAATTTATAGAAAACTGTCAGCAGATCATGGTCTCCTGGAATTGTGCAGCACAATGCTGGCTGGCCTCTAATTTTTTTCTTAAAAACCTCAATACTAAATCCATCCCAAGTAAACTTCAAATCATTCCCTTAGACACACTGTCCATTCCCATTAAACCAAATAAAAAAGGAAATTCCATAAAGAACAATGAAATATATATTAACATTTTCCTTTCTGTCCCTTAAGCTCCCTGAATTTAAGTTCTCTTAAAATTTCTGTGTATTGACTTTATATCAAGCACATGTAGATGACAGTAAATTGGATTAAAGTAAAATGTAGTAGGTATTCTAGGGAAGAGACCATGAAAGAAAGGAACTACTTTTTATGTTGAAATTGGACCCAATTTTAGAGTAGCAAAATTATATTTCTTGAAGTTATCAAATTAACCATGATCTAATGAATGACTAACAAACCACTTAGTATCCTGTGGCTGAACAGGTTACTGTGTTAACTGCAACACAGTAACATTATTAGTGGTGTTTAAATTCAAAATCATGTATATTTTAGTTTACACTTGCATTTAGCTCACTCAGAGTTAATTTTCAAACATAAGGTTCAACTCCTGTTATTAATAATGTGCTATGTTCTGTTAAAGTTTTTATTTTCTTCCTAATTCTGAAAATACTTCTAATAATTCCAAAATGGCATTTCGTCAAATGGAAAAAATAATGTGGCAAATCAAGACCAATTTCTTCTTTCAAAGTTAAGCTAGTACTAAACCAGACTACTAGCCAAAACATCTTCATGAAAATTAACTAGAGAGTTGGTAGTTCTCTGAAACTTGTATAAATTTTATTTATTACTGAAATTACTAAAATCACATTGAAACACATTAACGACCCAAACCACCTATTAGGAAAAATTCCTATGGGCATCCAGTCCCCTTGATTGAACTTGGTTAACAAAAGAGGCAAAAGACATAGTTTGTGTTGAAACCTAAGATTCAAATGCTAAGTGTTTTTAAGCTGTTAATAAAGTATGTACCAATTCCAAGTACCAAGTGTAATCAAAATTCAAATTCATGGGTTTACTCTTAATAAGCATCAAAAGCAAATTCTGTTCACTGAATCCTCTTACTTTTGATTTGCATAATGCATTCTAAGAGTATTATAACGAGGAAAAAAGCTATCCACCAAATGCATCATGTTCAAAAATGCAATTAACATTTCAAAACCACATGTAAAAGGGAAAATACCTGAAAAGTTAACTCTATTAATAAAATTACTTGATACAATATTATCCTGTAGATAAAAATACATTTCTTGTATATACATGTAGATTTCTACATGAAAGAAAGGATTCAGCTCCAAACAGAAAAGGGCTGACCCTTGATAAAGACATCCCAGACTGCCAAACTGATGTCACTGTAAGGAGAGCCGAAAACAGAAGGATAAAAGGTAAGTTAAGGGAAGGATAAAAGTTCAGTCACCTGCTTCTGAACAGCGGCAGAGTTGGGTGAGAAGCAGATGAAGGCAGAAATAAGACATAGAAGAAAGGCAAAGAAGGCCTCAATTCTGACCAGAAATGAATGGAGAACCAAGCAAAGTTGAGAACAGATATGACAGAGCTGCAATGAGATGCTTGAAACTAGAATTTGCTGGTTGATAGTCACAGAAGCTCAATTAAATCATCTTAAAGTGGAATTAGACAAAGCATCTAAAATTTCATGGAGAACCAGTATTACAGATAACTCAGCATGGTATCACCATTTAAAAAACTTTCCCAAATAACATCAAGTCACCAGAAGACTTCTGCTTTGGATCATGTTCTTTGAAGCTTAGAAAAGTTCCTGACTGACTGGGAGAAACAGCACAGTGCTCCAAAAAGAAACTCTGCTGAGATGTGTCAGTAACAGAAATTCCATTTGACCCTGGACAGGCCCTGGATCTTGGATTCTTCAAAGTGAGTGAACTGCACCAGGTTTCTTCCAAGTAAAAACATTTTATCGTTCTGTTGACAGTGAATTAAATTGGGATTGTTTAGAACCACCCCAATTTTGGTGGGGGAAGGCAAAGGGGAGAAGTTAATCAAGATAAAGAAACGTCACAGGAATTTCATGCAAGGGTACAGCATTCAAGTTCTTTGTCCCCTGATTAATGCTGTATACGGAAATATCCTATAAACTAAATTTGCCTAACAGAAAAGCTCCCACATCCCAATAGATGAGAATGCTTGCAGTACTGGAATCCTTGATCAATATGAACTACTCACTGTCTCTTCTCAAAGACTCCGTTTTTTCTTTTTCACCCAAATCCTACACTGAAAGACAACCAAGGTGCCAAATGTTAACCACCAGTCAAGTTAGGAATGTTTGAAGAAAATAAATTAACCTTGAAACAAAGAAGCAGATGATTTGGTCAAATTTCAGACATATATTATTAGAAATTAATTACTGGCCCCACCAGGTTAAAGATGAAGGGAGGCCCTGAGAAGTCTACAGAGCTGATATACACACAAGTGAGTGTCACTGTTTTGTTTTTTTTTTAACCTAGTTTTATTAAATATTGCTTCCTTGGGATGTGTTTATAACAACTCCCAGAACATTTTCATGTAAGGATTCAAAGCGGTCATATTAAAATACAGCTTCAATATAAAGTTTATCACAGTTTTACAGTATTCAAAAATGACAGACCTGCCTTAAAAAACAAAACAAAAACCAAAAAAGGACTATTACACCCAAAACATAAGAAAACAATTAAATAAACAAGTTTGGCATTTCATAACTTTAAAGTATAAAACAGAATATTAAATCTATTACTGGCAAACGGACACTGATGTATTACCTACTTTGAAATGTGTCCCATTTAAACACACTATACAAATTCACTATACAAAAGATTGATGGTCTGTTTGATGAAAGAAATGCACCCTGAAATTTTTTGCCAGTTTAGAATATTTAGCTCTTAAAGTCAAAAAAGTCCTTTTTCTTTTTTAAACTGAAGGCTGAATTCAGATTTTTTTTTTGTTGTTTTGTCTCTTTTGTCACCCTTTCTGGTTTAAAAACAATAGTGTCTATGGACGCCCACCAGGGGGCAGTGTAAGATTAGCCATTAAATCACGAACAGCTGCAAATATTGTGCATTCACCTGCAACAGAGAAAAATGGTCATTAGCTATTCGCAATACAGGAAAGATGATGTTAACACACCGGTGGGGGTAGGGAAAATTAAATCTAAAATTAGCAAGAACTTTAAAGATCAAAATAATAGACTAAATTTTAACTGCACAGATTATAGGGGATTAAGCTTTGGTGTTAAGTATCACGTGATACTTGGTTTGGGTTTTGTTTTTCCTCATGAGCACATTTTGGACAACTCACAGTTAGGTCTGAATCTAAGACAATATGCCTAGAGTTTCTCTACAGAAACACTGGAGCATTGGATAAGCCTTTGAAGTTGGACTTCAAGGCTACTGTTGACCTTTTTTTGCATCTAATGAAAAGATCTAGTTTTATATTTATGCATTAGTTGCAACATCAATGGTGTCCTTCTAATGTTGCATTAAAGGCCAGGTAAAAATGTCTATGACAGCACTGTCTAATAAAACTTTTGTGATGAC